AATCCATATAAAAAACCTCTCCCTTGTAAAACACTATTAAATTCTTGGTCTCAATAACACCCTGTGGCAGTGAGTTCCACAGTTTAATCACATGCTGAAGTGAGCAACTTTCCTTTGAGCAGACTTGAATTTGGCATCTTTCAATTTTGTTGAATGTCCCCTTGTTCCTGCATTGTGAAACTTGGGAAAAAGCAAAGCACACATGCCTCTGTAGTACATTGTGACTTGGCCATTCAAATTCTTCTACAGTGAACGCAAGCATTTTAGTCTTTTTTTTTTTTTGGAAATAGAAGAATCAGGCCCAGTTTGAGTCTTGCGTATCCCTCTTCCTAAGCAAAGTAGGACATCTCTTTAGAAATGGATCTATTCTGTGCCAGTGATTCATAGATTGACATAGCCTCCTCTGGGTTGGTTTTTCAGTTATGTTTCCATTTTCATCTTTGGGTGAGAAGAATTGGTTGACAAGAACGTACAGGCACCAAGTCTCAACTAGCAGGCTGTGGTCAGTTTCCTGCAGGCTTTGCATATTTCTCTCACCATGGTACGTTTCCTGTACAAAACTCTGACTGTACAGATGACACTCGCTAGCCACTTTGGTGCGGCTCATCCATGTGTAGTAGGATAACATGGCTACCCTTGCCTAACTCTTGAGCAGGATGCTTTTCCTGTACATAAACTTCTGACTCACTCCACCCTGCAGCCCTACAAATGCATCATTCCACATGGGAGTAGTCCTGTTTTAGCTTAGTAGGACTATTCATATGGAGAGAGGCACTGGCATGCATGAGAGTTTATTGGTGCACCTTGTTAGTAGGAGGCACAGCCATAACAGAGCTACTGATAGGGCACTGGGACCCAATACTGTATTAACAGCAATGTAGCATCCAGGCAAAGGCATAGCTGGGCAGTTCTGGGCCCTGGGCCACAGCAACAGAGGACAGTGGTTGCATGTTGAATTAAGAAGGTGGAAGCTATTTTTGTCATCCCCACTCCGCCCACAAGTCAGTGCTTGCTCACACACCTTAGTTATGCTACTGGGTCCAGGGCTGGGAAGCAGGAGAGTTATACCAAGTTAAGTGTCTGTGTCCATCTTGAGACAACTTTTCACTGAACGCGAATACGATCTGATCGGCTTTACCACCACCTAGCGGTGAGGCCTACTGCATACAGCTGCTCTGAGGTAACAGCCAGTGCAGTGGACACTGCCATACAAAACAGATATAAGTGCTACTAGGCTAAGTAATCAATCACCTGTCCATACCCTTAAAACTGTGAAGCTTTCCCTACCATTTGCTTCCACCTTCTTCATTCAAGAGGATCTCAAGACTCATGCTGTATTTACGAACTGGACTTTGTCTTGGTCAGTCAGTCTGAAGTGAGAGTTCTCCCTTTCCTTTCTGATCACACCTGGGGAGGGTGGCACCAACCACAGCAAGGAAAAATGGGCTTAAAAGTTTCTTGTTTTGACTCGGCTCCAAGCACTTCAGTAGCAAAACTCCCATTGAACAGCAGGGCCAAGATTTCACTTAAGGTACATTTTTTTTTTTTTTTTTAATTACTAACAGCTTTCCCAAGGGAAGTTGTGAGGCCTAATAGATAGGATGCTAGCCTGGGACTCGGGTGATCATTTGTCTCATCTTACTGGCTCATCAAGACAAGTGCTGTCCATCTCCATGCATTACACATAGTACAGACCCAACAGGGCCCTGATCTCTGGGATGGATTTTGTAGTTGCTAATGTCTTTGATTAGTGACTCCTGACAGCATGCACTGGATAGTACCCCAGCATTACTGCCTTGGCCTGTATTGGTATAACCAAGGGACAGACACAAGCCCAAGACTGAGTGTCCCTGAGGCTGGTTACTGTTTGGACTTATTCCTTCCCATTCTTCCCTGTCCCTGCCCCTTGTTCGCTCTGCCTCTAGGATGCTGCCAACACTTGGACTGTGCTGTGCTGAATCTAATGAGATCCACCTTGTCTGGCTATTGGGCTGCAGAATAACACTACATCTCTCTGCAGGGTCTGAGCACCTAACATTCACCTTGTTCTTTTTTATACAGATCAGGATTGGGGAAAGGAACCAAGATTTGCAAACAGCAGGTGTTGGACACCTTAGAGAGGCAACAAGCTGGTGAAGGGAATTCTCAGTGTCTGTAGTACCTTCACAAGTGGGGTGGGGAGAATTAAAATATACATACTTTACTTATACATGTAACTACCCCTACATTTAAATAAGGTTAGTAAAAGCAATAACAAATATCAAGCAGAATGGTTATAGCAGACACTGAACTCAGTGGTTGAAGGGACATGGCTGACACTTCCCAATGCAAGTGAGTACAGCATTAATACATCTTTGTGCATTTGTATCTGTGTGCATACAGAAGCACACTTGCACCGAGGAGAGCTGGTGTCATCAGTCCTGTCCAGTTATTTTCATTATAATCTGAGCAAAAATATGTGGATGAGCTCTCACATGACAGGTATGAGAACTTACCTCCTGGGTGGTCATCAAGGAGGGAATGTGTGCATGGAAATGACATGGAGAGTTTAAAAAAAAAAAAGAGGGGCCAGTTCACAGATCTAGGGAGATGGGGGGGGGTTGAAGATCTGACCCTGGCACCTCTCTTTTCTGTGCCTCGGTCCATTCCCATCCATTTTATCTTTAGGCTGTGAGCTCTCCAGGGCACTCTGGACAGGACCCAAGACAATAAAATTCCAGTTTGGGTAGGGACCTCCAGATACTAATAAAAGGCCAGATCCATAGAAGGGAATCTGGCAGTAAAGCGGGCACTTAAATCTGAGTGTGTCCCCTCTGACATCCCAGCTCATCTGCTACCAACTCTGAAGCTACAGCTCTTACTGACAGTAAGACTGTGCCTCTGTCCAGAACTGCCCCAGTCTTGTCAGAACAGAGCAGCTTGGTCTCCAGTACACACCTAAGCCTAATCAGGATCCAGATAGATCTCCTTCTTCCTAATCCTCCTGATGGCATCACACCAGCAGACATTTTCAGCATACGCCCTCCACACCCCAAAAGGACCGAGATCCTCACAAAATGCAGTGGCAGCTGCCACTTACTCAGATATAAACAAAGAAATGGTTCAGGGAGTGGACCCTAGGGAGTTACCCTCTCATCCCACCCTAGTACATTCACCACAAACCACAGGGCCATGCCCTCGCCCCCCTTGTTTGCTCTCTCTGACCAAGGCATCTTGATTTCCTGCCTGCACAGCAGCACAGTATCAGCAGGACAGGTGGAGAGGGGCCTGCTGTAGAACAGCCTCTAGCCTGCTAGGTGATGAGAGATGAAGGTCTGTATCTCCTCAGGGAACTTGAAATGAGTCTCCCACTTCCTGGGCAGCTGCTGTAACCAGTAGGCTATTTTTGGAAGAAGGAGGGCAGCGCCATCCCCAACTTCTTTACTTGTGCTTTAAAGATGGAGCCCTGCTTGGTTCACTGGAAGAACAGGCACAGGTGCCTGGCTTCAGGACAGTCCAGGATTCCCAAGTGGACAGAGGTACTTCTCTGCAGCCCTGAGCTGGGCACGTAAGCTGTGGAGATGGCTGGGTGTGTGCACCTCCCCCTGCCATCCTCAGTATTTCCTGTTACCAGGCAGTGGCCCACTGACTATCCGAGGTTCTGTTCTATGGTACTTCTCTTTCCCAGCCAGCACGCAGGGAGCTGGGGCACTCAACACAGGGTTAACGATTCCATCATGGGGGCTGGATACCTCGGCACCTAACATTTTGTTCCCAAAGTCCTTTACTGGCGCTAGCTCAATTTAAATAACAAGTGCCCAGGATCCCCCCAATGTACTCTATCAAATTTAAATCCTGCCACATGCTGGTATTTAGCATGTGAAGCGATCTGTAATTAATCACATAATTGAGGCTTTTGTATTAAATTACACGGTGAGTCGGCAAACTTAACCTTCACAAGACGCACAGATTATTTTTGCCAGCCATCCTCTATCCAAAGCTTGAAGATGACAATGGGCCTTGCCTGAAACTCTTGGGGGGGGGGGGAGATAGATGTGCTAGAATTTAACTGACTGATTACTGGAAGGAGCACTAACTTTCTTGAAACACAAAGCCCACCCTCTGCTCCCAGGTGGACTGTCTGTACCCGCTGCTTCAGGGAAGGTTGCTTAGTGCAAAGAGAATTCAGGACTTGGGAGGGGAGACTCATTTAACTGGGATTGTTTCTTGTTGGCAGTAGCCCCAACTCATGGGCCTTACAAGGGATCATCCACACAAGTACTGCACACACAAGAAGCAGAGTCTAACAATGCATAATGAATGCACTTCTAACCAACAAGAGCTACCTGCATTTCCTTCACTGACATCAGAACAGCCATGCATGAAGTGCTTGCATTCAGTTTGAGGCCTAATGAGAAGCTCTTCTCTCACCAAAGCTCTCCAACATCTAAGCTGGCACCCCCTGAGAGTCTGATCCTGCCTCCACTGAACTAATGGAAAGCATACCTACTGCCTAGGAAATGATCTGCTTGGAGGCTCAGAAGCGGAAAGGGATCTTGGAGTCCTAGCGGACTCCAAGATGAACATGAGTCGTCAGTGTGATGAAGCCATCAGAAAAGCTAATGGCACTATCATGCATCAGCAGATGCATGACAAACAGAACCAAGGAGGTGATACTTCCCCTCTATCGGGCACTGGTCAGACCACAGTTGGAGTACTGCGTGCAATTTTGGCACCGCACTTCAAGAGGGATGTGGATAACCTGGAGAGGGTCCAGAGAAGGGCCACTCATATGGTTAAGGGCTTGCAGGCCAAGCCCTATAAGAAGAGACTAGGGCACCTGGACCTCTTCAGCCTCCGCAAGAGAAGGTTGAGAGGCGACCTTGTGGCTGCCTATAAGTTCATCACGGGGGCACAGAAGGGAATTGGTGAGGCTTTACTCACCAAGGTGCCCCTGGGGGTTACAAGAAATAATGGCCACAAGCTAGCAGAGAGCAGATTTAGACTAGACATCACATCTGGCTGGAGTCATCTGAACCCAGCACTCTTTCCTGCCTACGCAGGGGGTCAGACTTGATGATCTATTAAGGTCCCTTCCGACCCTAACATCTATGAATCTATGACTCCCAATTACATCATTGCCTACTGGAGACGAAGCCAGTATTTGGTCTAAATGGGGGCACTGGGCCCATGATGTTAACCCCCCTCCTCCTCCTCCTCCTGTTGTCGTCCACAGTCCCCTTCTCAACCTCCTCCCTCTGTTCCCAAACTGCTACTTCAATGAAGCTAAGAGCACTGGTCATCTGTAGGTGTATTTATATGTCAATACAAAAACTGCATCACCATACAAGAGCAAATAGGAACATTTATAGTTATTTCTGGCTCTGATCAAGTTCATGTTAAATACAAAACCAAAAAAAACCCCAAAACAAAACAAAAAAAGATTGTAAAAATAAGAATATACACATTCAAAGAGCTCATTACAGTATAAAATTACTGAGGTCCACTCAGCTGCCAGCCTCACCTCCTGGGGCGGGGAAGAGGGGGGCATGATAGATAGAGATCCCAACAGCACCTTAAGAAGGCTGGGGTGGGACATGGGCTCAGCACTGATCCCTGACAGACTGGGTGCTGTGTGGAGGAAGGGGACACCAGCTACTCTGAGGTTTCTGATTTCCCTACCTTCAGATGGTTTTGGCTTTTGCTTGGCGCTAGGAGCTGCCACCACTCGCCCCGGTGAAGTATGGCCAAGACGGGTGGGACTCTAGAAAAGCACAAACTCCAACTACAGAATATTACTGCCATCAAGGAAAGCCCGGTAGTTCTGACAGCAGCTTGCACCCTCTGCCCTGCAGCACTTCGTACCAACTGGCCTCCCTGGAAGCAGGGGGGAGCCTGTCCCAGGGCAGCAACATCCTTTTGTCACGGGGAAATCTGCAATGCCCTGCTCCTGGGAAAACTGGCCCACCCCTCTGAACCAAAGCAAGACAGGCAAGGGGAAGAGAGAGCAGTTACACAATAGCAAGACAGGTCATGTTAAGCAATCCCTAAGAGCCTCTGGGAAGAAGGATGTGCCATGTGGCCCTGGCAGCATCTCACCAGCTCACAGGAGTGCTAATTCCCTGCACAGCACCAGTCCAACAAGAACATGCTGGTATGATATGCACCCTGCTCTGTACACCAGTGTGCATGGTTCCTGGCGAGTGCCTGCATCCCTAAAGTTGTGTCCAAGGAGTGAAAGGAAAGGAAAGAGCCAGTAACATCGTTGCACTGTTACCACTGCAAGGCTATCACTCGTCACTCGAGATCACAGCAGTGAGACAACATTACAAGACTGAGCCCTGTGAGCTGCTAAAGACAGGCGCGCTCATATATATGTATCTATATAATACGTATGTAGGATAGACCCGAACACATCAAGGTTATATTATATACACACATACATACATACAGACACTCACGCTTAGTGGCAGGTAAGACTGAAGTACATGCCTTTTCTAAACCCTAGGCAAGGGTGGTACTGGAAATGGTTTCTAGGATGGATATTCAAGTCAAGCCCTCTCTATGGGCATTTCAGGTGGTCCCATGGAAAAAAAATAAAGACACCAAGGTGAGAAGTAAATCTTCTTCCCACTCCTCTCTAGTTACCCCTGGCAAGTGGCAGCCACGATTTGGTTTTAATAAGGCACAGTTCAATGGCAGGTGCTAAACTTTAGAAACATGAGCTGCTAGTCAGTGGCTACTCTGAGACGGGTTATAACCAGCTAGCCAAAGAAAGGTCAACAACGGGAGCCTTACAACAAAGGAGTCTGTCTCAGCATCACTGATGGTTGCAACCCAAAGGCTCCGCTGAATTTGGACTAGTCATGAGGAAGGTGGGCTGATCGTGATTGACAGAGCCAGTCCTTGCCATCAGGGGTGGGGGCCCCTTGTCCCGATTAGCTCTTCTCCTGGCCTGTTCGCGTGTGGTTGGAGGGCAGCAGACCCTCGCGCTGAGCATGCTCGATGATGGACGTGTAGCAGAAATAGTACTGCTCAGGGGTCTGGATGCTGAAGGCTCTTTGCGTTCTCATCCGCATCACTGTCTGGTGTACGTTCAGTGTGCCCACGTCCTGGAGCTGCGAGAGGCAGATGTCCAGTGCGCAGAACGTACCTGGGGGTGGAAACAACCAGCTATTCCAGCCAAATGTCTCCCATGCATTATCAGGAATGGCTACCACCCCAGGGCACTGCACCACAGGACTTCTGGGCTTCCAGTGACAGTCAAGCCTAGGTGCCTTAAAAACATCTGCACCACTGAGGAGACTTCCTGCTTGTCTTCCACCCATTAGCCCAGAGTTCCTGCAAGGAGGAGGAATTTGTCCTTGGAGGACAGGTGGGGACATAAGGCTCTGGGACGATGTATACGACCATCATCTACACTGCATCAACCTGCCCAGGAGCCACATCCCAGGAGCGTCCCCAGATAGGGGGTTAATGTGTACATCAGGACCACAACAGTAGTGCTGCCTTGCCTTAAATGATCCAGGTTCAGCTCCTAACTCTGCTCTCTGAATCCCAGCACTTGGGATGGGTACAGGACCATGGCTTCCTCAGGGAGAAAAGTAACCTCATATCCTTGGCCATGATTCCTCCTGGCTCCTTAAGAATCAGGTCTGACCATGCCTGGAGGGAATCACAATCAGACTCAGAGTACAAGCAACCCCATGGACAGGAACCAAGGTGGATCTCAAAGAGAACGGGGCAGGGGATGCAAGGATTCCTGGTGGGGGGTCTGGAGAGCCTCCACAGAGAGTATGGGAGGAACTGAGACACTTGGATCTGAGACACTTCCTTGGGGTCCCCTGGGACAACAGCAGCATGCACCTCCACTCCCCTCATTTAGGTGGAACCCGCCCCCCTACCCCCACACACACACACACAATCAGTTTGTTTCCAGAATCAGAGACAATTACCTGTACGGCCAATGCCAGCACTGCAGTGGACCACTATTGGTGGTCCTCCTGGGTGACCTTTGAAACGTGGCCCCAGGGCACTGACTGCAACCCTCTGCTGCTGCTTCACAGCTCCCAGGAAGTCGATGAGAGTGGCAGCTGATGAGGGGACGCCATAGTCCGGCCAACTCAAGTACTGGAAATGAGACACCAGGCGCCGCTCTCTGTTCTGTGTGAGAAAGCTTCACTGTCAGTGCTTCCAGCTGACAGGCCTGTTCCACCTCTGTCCCCGGGGGAGACTCCGTCATGGAGGAACTCCACACTCCCGCTTTTGTGTCCCCAGGCACCAGACAGTCCATGCAAGCACACCAGCATGGACCCACCCCCAGCCAGCTCTATCCCAGCCTACCAGGGTCTCCTTCATTTCTCTACGCTCCCACCCCTTCCTTCTACCACCAACACTTCCCTCCCTTTGTTTCTCCTGTCACACACAGTGCTCCCACAGGTCTTCCCCTTCCTAGTGATTAGGAAGCCACTAATAAATACCATGTAGTCACATGGTAGCCTCCACTCCACTGACAGCCCAGACATATTGCTTCTCCAGGCTACTGTAGTTGCTTCAGCATGGATTCAAACCCAGATGTCCTGGTAGATGCCAACCCACGCCATCTGCCTTCCTCTTCTGCAGAAATGAGAATCTCTCTCTCCTGCTACACCAGGCAACACACCTGGGATTCACTGATCCAAGCCACGCTTTACATGTGGCAATGAGGACACTCTGCCTGCCCATTCCTAGCTCCATGCCACTGGGAAGATGGCAACCTAGCTATTTCTTCCTACGCTGAAGTCATAGGCAGCACAGGAATATTGCCCTGCTCACTTTTTCCACCGCAGGACTGGGGTGGATAGTTACCTCGGTATTATAGATTTCCAGAACGGTTTTCTTGTAATGATTCAGGTTTTCTACCCCAAGGTTGGTGACAGTGAGAGTCCCATAGCACACTCGGAAGTCTTTCTCCAGGGGCCAATATTGGCCACACTTCTTCCTGTTTCCCTCCTCCAGCCTGTAATACACCAGATAGAGAGAGGAGAAGGGGGCAAGAGGTTCTTCCTCTGCTCCTCACAGAGGGAGAGAAGTAGATCATTCCATCCCAGCCTTGTCACCTACTGGCTTCTATGGGAGCTGGACCATAAACACAGAGCCGAGCACACACCTTGAATCTGCACTCAGAAGGAAGGTGCTATGCTGCATGCATACCCCAGTTATTAGTAGAAAAGGAAGGAAATGAGAGAGCCAAAGAGAGGGCATCTTCCCCTGCACCAGGACTGCGGCGGGGTGGGCAAGGAGGGCATGGTGAGCTCATGGACTGAAGAGACTGCTATGTTAGATTATTAGGCAACTCAAAGCATCTTCCAGTAGTGGGTGGCCAATTTTACAGATGGGGAAACAGGCATGGAAGTTAAGCCACTTGGGTTAAGCCCAAGGTTAAAGAAGCCTATTTTGGAAGTGGGAAATAGGATCCCAAGTACCTTACAAGCCTCCCAGTGCAGACACACAGTTTGTTTTGCTTTTTTGCATTCATACAATACATACAAGAATTACGGCCATCCTCAAAATGCAACCACGTCTGAGGTAGAATGGGATGGCTGCTTCAACAGTGCATGCCACCACTACAAAACAAGCTAGGGCAGAAAATGAAGAAAATGATAGTGTCACATCTAGTGTTGTGAATTAAAACCACAAGAGGTGGAATTTAATAAAACCAAACGTGGTTACCTCAGCTGAACTTTAGCCTGCACAACAGCAGTAACGTGTTTTGTAACACAGCAACATGGGATTTAAAGCATCCACAAAACCTCAGTTCTGTATCTCAACCAAGAGAGTAACTGAGCCGAATGCACACTCACCTGGTTGTCATGACAATCACCAGAACATTTTGCTCCCAAACCATGCGCCAGAAGTCGCAATAGGTGTTTTCCAGGGGTCCTGAAGCGACAGAACACACGTATAAGGACACAGGCAGGAGGGGCCAGTGACTTCAGAGAAATCCCATCCAATATCCTGCTGGTGCAGGTGATCTGGGACGCTGTTTACCTAGATTACTGCCCCGATGCTCTCCACCTGCCTTGGCAGAAGATTCCAAGTTGATTCCAATACTTTCCATTGGGCAACATGGATGTGTGGTGGCAATTACAAACCTAGTATTGCTCCATCCAGCTGTTGGCCTCAAAATGCTACCTGGAGCTTACAAAGGCTTTAGCTCCAAGTGCGCACACAAAATGCTCTAGGACAGGGGTTCTCAATCCCTGGGCTGCAGTGGGTCAGCTGCTGGTCTGCAGCACAGTCAGCTGCCGGACCAGAAGAGAGCATGGAACAGCGAACTGCAGTCCCCCAGAGCCTGGTAGAGAGGCCGCGTCTCCTTCTGCAGGGTCTGTGGCAGCGCAGGGTTTGGCCCACCCCCCTGCCTGTGGGTGGGGGTAGCTTTGTCTGTCTGCCGGCTGGAAATTCCAGCCATGGTCAGCTGTGGCTGCTGGGCTGTGGTTTGCCGGGCCGCGGCATAAAAACTTTGAGAACCCCGGCTCTAGGATATACCATTGCCCAGCACTGAGAGATGGTTCATTAGTGGGTAGATGGTGATATTGCTTCCCTTCTCCCAACCACATGGCAGTTACTCTGACTAGCCAGAGGGCCCAGTAACACAGATGCAGAATGCAGCTGGACTATGGGGGAAGTGAGGAGGTAAGACCCACAGTAAATGCTACACTTACACCTCAAAGGCCAAATGGGATACAAGCTAAGGGTTTAAAATGGCTGACAAGTTTCCAGCCAGCTGTTAACATGTCTGCCATCTCTGAAGTGCATTTTTTTGGTCTTGCTGAACAGCTGACAAGTTGAAACACACGTCTTGAGAGAAAAAGTGGATGTACCCATCTTAGGGAGACCTGCCTAAGATACGTCTCCCTTAGTGGCACTGCCATATTTTGGTGACATGGAAAAGTTACATGTTTTCAAAATGTCTGAGCACAGGACAAGGCATGGATGAATCAAATGCAACCAGAATATTCCTTCCAGTCTCACTTTGGAATGACTAAAGCCCCAGCAAGTTCCTACTGATGGAAAGTCAGGGAGATGCCTACTTAAAACTTCCTCAGAAGATCCCCCTGGGCTGCTCCCCTCCTTGAGATACCAGAGTGTCTCTCTCCGAATTGGATGAGCAGCCTTGGAAACATACTGGAAATGCATGATGATACTCTACAACCCACAGAGAACACAACGCAGTTGAGCACACACCCTTTGAAGAAACAAGGTAGGTGGTGCCATGAAGAGGGAGCCTGTAGTTATCAGTCACTGGAGAAAGCACCTGCCTTAGCCAAGATGCTTGTTTCCAAACAGCCCCAGGATACTGGATAAAAAGTTAAGTTGCCATGCACTCTTGTGCCTAAAAGGAGGAGGGAAATATTTGCCATGTTTAATGGAAGGCTGCATTTCAAATACAGTACCATTCCCTGATGGCACAGCCCAAGAATGCTTGCTTTCCACAAGCGCTGAGCACCCCTGACTCCCACTGGCTTGAGCAGGAACAGCAGCTGTTCAATATTTTTTAACATTGTTGCTGAGATCAGTCTCTGACTTCCTGCCAAGCTGCATGTCCTCCAGCCCCAGGGTCCTTCCCATTCCTTCTTGCTTCAGGACTCTGCCCTAGCCCTCTGGGCCTGGAACAAGCAAGTGGGGATGTTTGGTCACTGCTGGGCCGTGATGCTCCTCCATTCTATGGAAGTCACATAGCACCCAAAAGCTGTACATACATTAACGAGTTCACCCACGTAGCACCCAGTTGTAAGGAGATAGTCAGGGAACTGTAGAGACAAGGAACAAATAGCCCCACAGGGTCACAGAAAAGTAGGACTGGAAAGGGACCTCACAAGGTCACCAATCCAGCCCCCTGCTCAAGGCAGGGCCATCCCTGATTAAAGCAGAGAGGCACAGTGATTCATCCAAAGCAATTCCACTGCTTCCCTGACTAGGAAGAACCTCATCTTATCCAAAAAATCAGTGGGCATTTCTCCATTCACATCAAGGGACTTCTCACTGAGCTTTTTCTGTATGTTCAACTTCTGCCCACTTCTGTGTGGCCCTTC